TACACTAGACCAACATATGATTATATTAGCAGCAACATTTTGGTATTAATTGCACTTTTTATTTGTTTGATATTCAATGAAAATGTATTGATGGTTAGTGAGGACATGCAAACATGCTTGTTGTCTACTTCTTAGGCAACCCATTATAAATAAATACATTTTTTAAAGCAATTGTGTTGCATTATAATGCAAAGGCACCTGGTTCTATTAATTGACAGCATTAAAAGGCATTTTGTGATTTCCTTCAATTGAAAATCTTTGAAGCAAGTTTGGGGGACTCTAGGGCACCCAATTCAGAGAATCACCCAGAAATTCAAAAGAACAGCATTTATCTGAAATAGAAAGCTTTTGTAACATTAAACAATACCGTTCAAAAGTTTGGAGTCGGTAAGAATTTTTATTTAATTTTTTGGGCGAAAGAAAAAAGAAATCATTACTTTTATTCATACAAATCGATTATCTGAATCTTTTGTGTGTGTGTGTGACTATAAATACGTTGCTTTAAAAGTAAATGACCCATAAAGAATTAACGTACAATATATTTTATTAACATTGCAAAGAACCAACAGGAAAATAAATGTGTCCCTGAATTAGGAGCATACTTGTAGTAAATTCTTTCCTCTGACTGGAAACGTGTCAAATGGCTTCTCATATTTGTCGTGTTTCCGTCGTTAGTTTTATTCTACAAAGCTTACAACTAGGGTTGCTCTTGTCCAGCTCCTTTCCCCCTTCAACTTCAGAAGCCAAAATATTTCCACGTCAGCTAACCTAACAAGGAGGGTGTTTGGATTTAGCGCGCTCAGCCATCGCATCTCTGTTATGTGCACGCCACAGACGGGTCCGGCCACTGCACTTCCGCGCTTCAGAGTTCCGTCTTTCGCGTTCCGTCAATATTACGTTATTATAAACATAACATTTTTTTTTTTTTTTTTTGGAAAATCGATTTTTTTACATTTGTGAATCGATTCAGAATCGTCCACGTCCGCATCGCGATGCATCTAAGAATCGATTTTTTCCCCCACCCCTATAAATTAGACAAAAAAGCTTTAAAATAAACATGCTTATACTTTAGATGGCAACTTCTTGAATCTACAATTTTTCACAAATAAAATAATTGTTTAAAAATATATTAATAAAAAGGAAGTAAACACTGTAACAGGGCACTCAGTAATCTGGTAATTTCGTGCGCACTGGTAATCATATTTTTTCAAATAAAGACAAGGTAACGCTAATTTAACATACAGCACACAGTGAAAACGATATGAATATGACACAGTGAGCAACTGGATATAGCACAGCATATTTTAAAATGAAGGATTTAAAGTTTTTCGATCACATCTCCTGTGAAGCTGTTCTTCTGTTCGCATTCACTCGCTTCACACTCGTCGGTCCGACCGTCACTCGCAGTAACACGCTTATATGCAGGCTACAAATGCACACTTAACAAGATATCACATCTGGATTCGATTAAATCTGCAAGGTTTGTGAAATTAAATGTTTATTAGATATTCAGAGTTAGGGTTGGGCATCGAGAACTGGTTCCAACTTGGAAGCATTTCAAAAATAACGATGTCATTGGAATCGTTTAGATTGTTTTCGATTCCAAACGCACAAGTTTTGGTCCATAGTGGCCACCGGATTTCTGGAAGTGCTTGCCGCGCCCGGTTGTTTAGTTGCAGCCATGGAGCACGGTAAGCGGCGGTCAAAAGTGTGGCTTTATTTCACCTTAAAAAGTCTGGGTCGGCACAGTGATTTTCATTTCACTTGAATAAATATACGATTTGCATGCATGTGTACGTAATTGGTCCAGTCAGTGGCAGAATTTTTGCCATGCATGTCACAGGTTCTGGGTTCTAATCCGCACTCGTATAGTTTTTTTCTCCTCATCAAAACCATATATGTTCATCAGTGGTTGTATATCAAGCAGGGAAACGTTTGTGTGCAATTTCTTTTGTGATTTCACTGGAACGAATTTAGTCTCCGCAACGGATTAAAGTGCGCGTCTGAGAGAAGACTGTGCGTGAGCCATAAGAGAACACTGTATCTGCGCCACTGATCGCAGCGGCAACGAGCACTTTGATCACTTGATTTAAAAAACAATAAGTTTTAGCGCTAGATCGCATTTTATTTAACAAAATAACGAAATTAATGCTCTGCTTTAACTGGAGATGATTTTTGTCTTTGTATTGGTACATCCGTGCCGCGAGATGTTTTAAAAAGTGGTGGTGAGGTGACAATATCAACCCTGGCAAAAAGTGGTGGGGACATGTCCCACCCGCAAATTACTCCTATGCCTGCATGGTGTACAAATTAACAAGGAGTGTAGCGTGTTTGACGTGCTGCGCAGGTCCACTGTCTCGTCCTCCTCGGGCAACCCTGCGCTAACCAATGTTAGTAAAGTTACCTGGTCACAATCAGGTAAGTGATTGTAGTGTAACAAAGCGCTTGACCAAATTGCTAATTGTTGTGAACAACAACAACATAACTGAAATTATTTTTTTCCTTCGTAGATGAATGTAGCATTATGCAAATTGCCCACGCTAGTAGCAGTCCTATTACTGTTTATACATGTCCAGAGAGTCCAGACCAGGGTGCAAGTTCTGCATATATAAATGTTTTTTGGTCTGGTGCAGAGGCATTCCTAATTTTCTCCCACATGGGCTGCAGCTCCCAAAACTAAAACTCATTATTGAATCAAAACAAAATGTACCTCTGTGAAATGAGCCTGTGACATGTTTTGACTCCACCCCTCAAAGAATCGGAATCAAAAAGAACCGAAATCGAAAGGAAGAATCGGAATCGTTCAAATTAAACCGATGCCCAACCCTATTCAGAGATTTGTTTAAATTATGTAGGCTAGATGCACATTTGCTGAATTTTGACGGTAAATGAGAAAGTATTTTAGCCTGATGCAAATAATATAAGCTAAAAGCAAACGCTTTACTTTTTCGCATACCATTTACTTTGTTTGTTTACCAGTTCTGTCTAAGAAAGTATTAGATATCACTGACAGAGATCGTAAACTATAAGGGGTTAATAAGATCACAGATCTTAAATCAAATGTGAGTCAACCTTGCACAAAAGGCACTGCCCCTAAATATACTGTAGTCCATTTCTGCTTAATATTAAACAAGGCTGTATTTTCCAAGATTAACATTACTTTCTAAATGTAAGGACATTCAAAAGAAAGGACTTTGAAACATTTCTTCCCACCAAATGTTTGTACTTCCTTATGATTCAATTTTTAGGCCACACATTTACTTCTCTGTTGGCATGTTTCATATTTATGCCAATGGAGGTAAAAAATCTAATAAAAGGAAAAAATGAATCATAAAAATAACTAACTGCATGGGAATCCAACTAGAGAGTTTTCACCAGTGACTGTTGAGACTAAGAAGGAGAACAACAGAACAGAGAGAGAGAGAGAGAGAGAGAGAGAGAGAGAGAGAGAGAGAGAGAGAGAGAGAGAGAGAGAGAGAGAGAGAGCAAGAGAGAGAGAGAGAGAGAGAGAGAGCAAGAGCAAGTTTGTTTGCTCTACAGGTCACATTCATTCCTTGGGTTTTTTAATCATCAAGAGTTCAAAGTTCAGTCATTCTGACACTAAAATTAGTTTAGGACTGCTGTGGCATTTGCTGAAGGGGAATAAACCTGAACACAATGGGTCAAAATGACTCCAGCAAGTGTATGTTTATGTATCTGTGCATAAGAAAGACAGAGGAAGAAAGTCTGAAGTACAACTTCACCAGAACACAAAAAGTTGGTATGGATTTATGGCATAGAAATGTTGCTTTGGCAGCTAGCCTATATGGCATGCTATTGACTTTATGGAGCAAAGGTAACTAAAACACCGAAATGTTGCTTTGGCAGCTAGCCTATATGGCATGCTATTGACTTTATGGAGCAAAAGTAACTAAAACCAATAAAATAAAAAAACATTTTCACTAACTTGACATAAAATAGACTGAAATCTGCAGACCCTTCAAAATCTCCACTTCCACTCATAACCCTTTCATTATCTCCCATTACAAATGTGTAGAGCATATATTCAACCCAGGAACCCTCAAAAAGCAAGTCTCATCAAAAAGCCAAGGACATATGCTGTCTACTCTTACATTTGATAAACACAGCAACATCATGCACTACAGTCTTTTATATGAATAACACATGACAAAAAAAAAAGATTCAAATGAGCAGCTTATATTGCTGCCACCCAATGCTGTTGCCATAATCATATTCATAAGAGATTGTTTTCAACCATACATCACATCTGTATTGCATAAACTACCATAAGCAGACTTTAGCCACATGATTATATGTTTTGGACTGAAATATGCACCAAAATACACTTACTAGCTCCAACAGCCAAGTTTTGAGGACTCACGTTACACATCAACATAACAGTCGTTTTAAAAGTCTGGATTCATCACTTATGACAACATAAACATTTGACCGGTTATACTGTAACTGTGCAGGTGACAAGCATTTATAACAGCACAGGAAACAACACCACAAAATAGGCTAATCGTTTTACTGGCTCATTCCAAGAAGATGACCTACAAATACCAAACCAGCTGTCAATCACATATTCAAGTTTATTTCAATGCAGCTCCCTCTTTCTTGCTTTCAATATGAGTATGTCACGATACACATTCCCACGCAGTGATGTGTCATTTTAAAAACACACACACACACAGGGCACTGAACGGTTAAGAACCGTTAGTCTATGTGATTAATGTCAAGAGGGATAACACAAAACATGCCTAATTTTATCGCTTCCAACATGATCGTGATTTATAGGGTGTATGCATATTTTCTTTCTCTGGCAGTAATAATTCTAGTCTCATCTGTAAGGAGTTTCACCGTTAACTGCACGGAGAGCTCGCAACGGGTCAGATTTGATTTGACGCCGTCCGTTGAGCTCGCGAGCGGAGCGGGAAACGAAAGGTGACGAGGCCACACAGTGCGATTCGACCGATAAAAAACGAGGAAAAAATACTTACGCGAGCGAGTGCTGTTTTCCGCCTCGTCCTCCGCCGTAACCTGGCTATCCTCAAACAGCGATTCTGAGATTTGTCAACCTCTCCCTTCGTCCCGCAGCCATCTTTCTCCTCAGATTCCACGGACACACCCACGCGCACGGGACGCTGTGACGTTTCATTGAAGGGAGGCGGCCATGGCGATAAGTGTGTTGTTTTGCTCGGAGCGCCATCGCAGGCGAAAATGGTGAATTGGTAGCCTGGGAAAACCCAGACAACTTCCAGCAAATTTAGATTTGCTCTGTTACAACCATAGACTGTAACTGAGAATGGTCTGGTTTTAACCAGGCTAGTGAATTGGTGAAGTGGAGTATGAATATTAATTATATCACTTCGCGTTGCGTTGGTTTGAACCTTTTTTTACAGTCTGTTTTGAACCCGTTTTTTTTTTTTGGTAACCTTTATGTAGCGGCCAAACACGGCACGTGACGTAATTAATATTGATGCGTTGGCCATGATAAAATTCGTCCGACCACTGCTGTGCTGAAAAACACAACTTTGATATAAATGCTGCCATCACTAGGTGGTAATAGATAGATACTTGATAAATTATTTTGGAAGTAGCCTACTGAAAAACTATTTTCCATTCCGTTACCCTTTAGTTTCCTCTGTTACCTTATTTCTCCCCCAAGAAAATTGTAACTGCGAAATGGCAACACTAGCCAAATAAAATGAAATATGAGTGTCTGTGAAATGAAGACACTAAAAGTTTAGTTCTAAAGTTATTCCAAATTTGCAGAAATCATTTGGTATAATTAGTCATTATAAAAATAGCTTTCCAAGTCCAAGATAGATACTTGATATATTATTTTGAAAGTAACCTAGGCTATAATATTTTCCATTCAGTTACATTCTGTACCTCTCCCTAGAGTTTTTTTTTTTTTAGAAATCTGATTGGTTCGCGCAGATTGCTGAGCCAGGAGGAAACTGCTTGGTTCCTCTGGAGAAATGTTGTCATGGCAATGAGCATCACATAGTACCTGAGCTATATGGGTGGGGTTGCTTGTTGTTGTGACAGCTATGTGGTCAAACAATGGTTGTCATCAACTCACTTACCTTTATATTCTTTTGTAAATACTAAACATGAACACAAATCGCTGGACAAGGCTTTTTGCATGGCAAAGCAAGATCAAGAATGCTGACGAGGAAGAGAATAAGGCAAAAGAATCAAATAAGACGAAGAAAGAGGAGACTCCAAAAATAAAGTGAGTTTCAGTTCAAATATTTTATTGTCACATTTGTTACTGTAATGTTGTAATGTAAAAGCGTTATGAAGGTTAAGTCTGACACCAAACTACTCCAACCTCCAATACACATAAATTAAATTAATAATTACAGTTATTTGTTATTTTAAGGGGTTTGGATTTTTTTTTTTTTTTTAAAGCTATAAAGACTAACACAAAATGTTCTATATGCTGTCAGCTGGAAGGAATGGATAATCGATCCATCTGAAGAGTTTTACTATACATGGTTGCAAATTATGATACTCCCTATCTGCTACAACTGGGTCATCATAATATGCAGGTAGGAAAACATTAAGTGAGGTTTGACTACTGTACGCTTAACTTTTATTTCATTTTTACATTAAGATGAGAATAATATATTTAATGAAAATTGTAACTGAAATGGCAACGAGTGTCTGTGAAATGAAGACTAAAAGTTTAGTTCTAAAGTTAGGGTTAGATATCATTTCAAGTCTTAACAGTTGTTAATTTGCTAAGAAATCATGATGCTTGTGTACCTGGAGAACTGAAGTTAAATGGTCTTTGTTGTTAAAAGGACATGTTTCTATACAATTGAGGAGACATATTTGGCAACATGGCTAACCTTGGATTATATCTGTGACTTGGTCTTTGTGCTTGACACAGTTATTGGGTTTCGCACAGGTAAGTGTGTATCTTATCTATTTTTTTATTTGTTTGTTTGTTTATTTATTATAGTTGCATAGCCTACTTATTTAACTTTGAACTTAATTAAAATTTTGCTTCTATACAGATTGACTTCAATATAGGCTAAATAAATAAATAATTACACTTAAAACATCAAATTGCTTCTTTTTTTCTTCTTCTTTTTTGTTGTCACTGTACTAATGTCCCCCCACATTGGCCGTGTGGAAAACCTAGCACCCTTTTTAAAAAAGGCTTTCTCTTTAAAGGTTTTCTGGAGCAGGGTATCCTGGTGCGAGACTTGTCCCGTTTGAAAACGCGTTACCTACGCTCCTCTCGATTCAAATTCGACATTATCTCTCTGTTGCCCACTGATCTGCTCTATCTGAAACTGGGGATCCACACACCTCTAGTCCGGGTCAACCGCTTGCTGCGCACGGGCCGTTTGAACGAGGCCTTGGACCGCATGGAAACGCGCACAGCCTATCCGAACACCTTCCGCGTCGCCAAACTCATGCTGTATATCTTCGTGCTCATCCACTGGAACGCCTGCATCTACTTCTCCCTGTCTAATTACATAGGCTTTGGTGCGGATCCCTGGGTCTATCCCAACATCTCCGACCCAGAGTTTGCTTCCACGAGACGCCAGTACTTCTACTGCTTCTGGTTTTCCACTCTCATCCTCACCACAGTGGGTGACACTCCGACGCCCGAACGCGAAGAAGAGTATCTGTTTCTGGTCGCTGACATGTTGATCGCAGTGCTGGTGTTTGCATCCGTCGTGGGGAGCATGGGGGACGTGATATCAAGCTTGCGTGATCGTGACAACGTGTTTTTCCCCAATCACGAGCTGGTGAAAGGTTACCTGCGCAGCCGACGCATCAGCAAAGAACTGCAGAATCGCGTCAACGACTGGTACCAGCATCTGCACATCAACAAGTGGGTCTTCTTATTATAGTCTGTGAGCCCAAAAAGCAATATTTAAAGACACCAAATCCAAATCCACATCTACACTACTGTTTAAAAGTTTGGGGTCAACAGGGCCGGATTTTAGGCACGTGTATGCTCATACAATTATTTCCCTCTAATGCTAAAACACTGTTAGACATATATAAATGAACACAATTTAAAACATGTAGTTTAGTATGTAGCTACCGTAAATTAAATATAATGCATCATTCTACATCCGACCATTGGGCCAATTTAGCAGTTTTGCTTGCTGTTTTGGGGTGGTAATATAGGTCTGTAATGATAGTAAAAAAAAAAAAAACTATAATATTAATGTTCATTAATTAATGACAACAACAATAATTTTATTCAGCCATCACAGGAATAAAATACCTTTTAAATAAATTAGAAAATTGTTATTTTTAAATTGTAATAATATCTCAGAATACTTCTGTTTTACTGTATTTTTGTATCAAATAAATGAACCCAGATTTCTGAGCGATAGTGTAAATGTAAAAAAAAAAATGCTGAAATACATCTGCAAAAAAACAATGCTAGATTTTCTCAGAACTAAATCTTAGCCATTTTGTTTAGTCATACTTTTAACCAATTGTTCCCAAGTTGATTAAAAACTATTTTTACTGTTTGTTTACACCCAAATTATGTGTCTGGAACAGAAAGATCACACGGGAAAATGAGATTCTTCGACATCTTCCAATCACACTTCAGACAGCAACTGCCGTGAGCGTGCATCTGCCCACTCTGTCTAAAGTCACCATCTTTCAGAACTGTGAGAAAAGTCTGTTGGAGCAGCTGGTACTTAAACTCACCCCACAGGTTAGAAAACAGATGGCACACCTGGGGCCTGCTCTTCATACGTGGACTACTCACTTATCTGGATTTTACTGTTAACGATTTGACATTATCCAGGATTGTTGGTTCTTCAAAGCTCATCCCGGAGTTGCTGTCATAGCAACAGGTCCATACGCTCAAACCTGCTCGGGAGCAGGCTTATTTCATGCAAACTTAGATTGCATCTTTTTAAACTTTGAGGTGATGCTTAAAGTCTGTCACAGCTACTTTTTTTTTTTACAAGAGTACCTTATTGAATCAGGAACAATAGGCTAATAATTTAAAAACTAAGTTGAAAATAATATTATAATGTTGTGTAGTATATCATAATATAGACACAGCTAGTTTAGTTTTACTCATTGAGAGTACACTTTGCTGTTTCCTTATTAAAAAGAACATGACAAACTTGAATTTCTTTATATGATATCATTACGTTGCTGTCTTGCTGCCAGCAAATCGCTGCATTGATGATCATGGTTTTGAGTATCGATACATCTGCCCTTTCCAATGAACACAAGGGCTGCGTCCGAAATCACATACTCTTTTAAGTAGGTACTTATTTTGAATAAGTAATTACTTCACTACCGCTAAAAAGTATGTTCTATGTAGTATGAATGTGATCTGGATGTACTACATTCGCCATGTTGTCATTATGTTATCTACTGGTGTCAGTTGCCTTGCTTCACTGCCATTCACAAATTCTCCCCCTTGGCCTCATGGGATAGTAAAGTATCATATGCACACTTCAGAATCTCGCCGAAAGAAGTAGGTCATCCGGGTATTTTTTGCCTACTCTTTTATGAGTCATGTGAATTCAGACATACTTCGTTTTTCGCTTACTAGGGAAGTATGCGATTTTGGATGCAGCCTAGAACGCGCAGTAATCCAGATATTTTACTCAAATCCGCAAATTTGTTTGAAGAACCAAATTATCCAGAGAGATCAGTTATCATGATTAGAAGATCTGGGCATCTGTCAAGTCATCTCAGATGTATTAACCGAGTTACAAAGAATGGACCCCTGGACAAGATTAAGTCTAACATTAGAGTCAGTTCAATATAGTCTCGCATGTTGTACTTGACCTCAGCAATATATATATATTTTTTATGTTTGCTGTTGTCGTTATTATACTTTTTATTTATACTTTGCTAGTAAATCTTACAGTATTATACCAGAATCTCTTCTACCATCTTTAGGTGTATAGCCCAGGAGAGTACGTATGCAAGAAGGGTGATGTAGGTCATGAGATGTACATCATTAAAGAGGGGAAGCTGGCAGTGGTGGCTGATGATGGAGTCACTCAGTTTGCTGTTCTGGGGGATGGAAACTTCTTTGGAGAAATCAGTATCCTGAATATCAAGGGTATGAAATGACCAGTACAGTATTCAGTACACTGTAAAAAAAAAATAAGTTGCTTTTTAAAATTTTA